CAGCGTCGAATCCCCAGCCTCAGCTGCATCAGCGTGGGGTGGAAAGCAGCCTGACAAGCCATATCTGCAACCAGGGGAGGGCTGACATGCCACACTTGTGTGTCAATGGCATCTCCACTCCTCCTCGCAGCGGGCAGCCTTCCTCGCCAGCCGAGCACAACCCACTGGGCCCTGCAGTGGGGTGAACTGAAGAAACAGCTGGTTCTGCTGTTGCAATCAGAGCACAGGGAATAACGAGGGATGCTCCTGGAGAACCCTGTGCCCACGGAGATAATAGCCAGAGCAAGAACAAGCCTACTGAGCTAAGCTCCAAGGGCTAAACTGTAGTACTGTAACACATGGCAAGAGGCTCTCCTGGAAGCTAGTGTCACCATTATACTGGTTGCTATGGCCAAAGCAGCCTACCTACACCTGGCTACAGATATCAATGTTTAACTTTTAGCATCTTCCACCCCAAAGGCTTCCAGGCCTATGTGCATAAAAGGACTTTGGTCCCTAATACCTATGCACTCACAAGCACCAGCATGTGTGGAGCCCTCCCATGCTGTTTCTCCTGCCGCTTCCACAGGCAGCCTTTCCCAGTCAGACCAGTCTTAGCCTTTCTGTCACAGAGCTCTCTGAAGGTGCTTCCTGATGCCACAGGACCTGGTGGGGCTGGAGGGGACACTGCGCTCTCACGGCTGCTAGGATTGCCAGCCACAAACAAGTTAGGTCCCAGTCAGACCTGGGGAGGCACAAGCGCAGTGTCTGTGATGGGGTAGACCAGGCAAACTCAAGTCACTGGCACAGCCCAACCCTAGGGAGATATCATGGCACTCACAGATGCACACAGTGATTAATTAAGGACAGAGACACTAGAGCTGGGTAGAAGCTAAATTGCCACACTCGCTAACATTGGCTGCGAGGGCTTCCCTTCTGCTCCACTTATCCTTATAAATATGCTGCTGCTCCTCCGTTTCTGGGGTCCTTTTCTCTCACACCTCCATCTGCCTGAGATGTGGCAAGCCCACTTTCCTCCTGGCTCTGTAACGCCGTTCCCCCAGGGATGCAGCAGAATAAAGTGACCGCCAGCAGCTTCGGCATGGCTAAGCGGTGTCTGAGCCGGCCACCTTGTTAGCCAGTAACTGTGCAACAGGAGGAGGCTACAGCAGCCTGAGGCCTCTCAATCTACAGTCAGTAGATTGAGTGAGTTGATGTCAGTTCCGGGTTCCCACAGCCTCCTGCACATCTTCCTCGTACAAGGGAAACTCGCTGCTGACAGAAGTCAGAGGGGTGACCTACAAGACTTCACAACAGAGCATTAAAATGATTAAAAGGCTGGAAGGGCTGTTGCACAAGGATTTGCTGTTCACTTCCAGTGCATCTCCTCTATGAACAAATTTGCCTGTAACCAGAGGCACAGTGCAGCCAGGACACCCTCTGCCCCCTGAGGGGCAAGTGCCATCAGGTCCACCAGCAGACACAAGGACTATGCACATGCCTCAGGGCCTCCAGCTCTTTCTCTAACAAACACAAATTATTACAGGTTGTGCAAAAGCTATTGCACAGCCTATCCCAAAAGCTCCCCCTCGGCCTGAGCTCCCTTGGGTCTCTAAACTGTAAAACCACTTTAGCAAGTAGTTGTAATTTGCTTATGAAGAAATGCTGCTAGGTGGGATGTCAGTCTGGGTCCCATCAGGACACAGTTGATTTAGGTGAACTGCCAAGAAACACTAACGCTACGCCTCTGAGACGCTAACACTGCAGCCTAGGAGACAGTGGGACAGTTATTGGGGCTATTCTCAACATAAATTGAAGAGAACATCTGGCATTAGCTGCACTGAGGGATTGTCCTAGCATGTCCTTGTCTGACTTTTCTGGTTGCATGGCTGAACCTAGCAGATCCATGGCAAGATCCACTCCAAGCTCAAGGAGCTGCGCCAGGAGCTGTTTGAAATCTGCTCTGCTTCCTTTGCTTCTCTTCCATATGAGCTGACAACTCCTGGAAAAGTTTAGCCTGAGGAGATATCACTTGCCCATGCATAACCACAAGCTTTGGATAACCACATTGGGTCTCCACTCAAATGGCAGAATCCAGCTCTCTGGGTCAGATATCTTGCACTCTCCCGTCTTCATTGCTCTGCTACACAACACAGGGCTTTTGCATGGTATGTTGTGCTGTAGCTTTGAGAAGAGTTTAGTTTGGGAAGTTTACTTCCCACCAAGGAGCCACTTGCCATTTTCTTAAGGCACAAAATAAATCAACACCCACAACTGTGGCCTCACGTGGAAGCGGAGAGTTGCCTTTTTACTGGTATCAACCCTAGCAGGCCTCCTCTCTTAACCAGTACTGAGACATAGTGGTATTTGGACAGGCGCCCTTTACAGCCTAGTCAAGTGCTACAGGAAAGGACACTACGGATTCCTTGGTGTATTGCCCTCTCCTAGGCCCACTCTAGACCAGTGTCCCAGTTTGGCACTGGTAAGTACTGGGCATGGTAAAACTCAAGTCCTCCCAATAAGAGTTACTAAAGATCCTGTGCCCATATTTGCAAGAGCTGGGATGCTTATTCACTCAGTATTGTG